GCACGAGCTGAGCTCACCGCGCCCCAGGGCTGTATATCAAGACGCGCAGCTGAGCACGTACTCGCCCGATGGCGGGAATGTCATCGCATCGCAGACTCTCAACGAAGCCAAAGTCTACGAGATTTTGCGGAAGAATCCCCATCCTGCGCTGGGAATGTGCCTCGGCTGCGTGGTCAGCGACGATGGACTCGTTACAGGGCTCGAGCTCGTGCGCTACGAGAAGACGCTGTTCCAGCGGGCGCATGATCCGGCATTCTACGAGGGCGACACGCGGGTCAAGACCATGGAGACTGTGAAAGAGGCCGTACTCCACCTGCACAACCTCGGCCTGGCTCACAACGACCTCAGCCCGCTCAACATCATGTTTGGGCGGGGAAACAGCGACGAGCCTGTCGTGCTAGACTTTGATACATGTCATCCGGAAGGGACGAAACTCGCCAAAGGAGGAATCGTAGGGGATTGGGAGGGGACATCGATCAAAAAGTTTGACGTGTCTTCTTTTGAGTGTGACTTCCAGGCACTGTCCTATCTCGAAGACTGGCTCTTGAGACAGCAAAAGGCTTTCATGCGATGTCTTGATGATTGCAGTACGGCTGTCGAACACGCCGTCAACTTGACGCCTACCCTTGCACTGAGTTCCTGACATCCCTTTTCACGAAGGTGGTCAATGAAGGCATTGCCAAGAAGGCTCGGAGCTGTGACAGGGAGACCCTGAAGAACCCACTTCGTCGTCTGCCCTGCCTTAAGTGCACTTTCCATCCAGACAATGCCAGGAGGCTCCTCAGAGCTGGATTCACGACAGAGCTCCTAAAGAGGGGACTCATCACGCTCTCTGAAGTTCGGTGGCTCGTTGCCGGGAATTGGAGCCAAATCGTCGGCTACGAAGCCGAGACGATTTTCTTCAGGTCTATTCTCGGATTGACTTTTTCTGCTTCTTACTACGAGGTACACCATTCACTCCCTTCCGTTGGCGTAACAAATGCCACGAGTCTCGTCTTATCACTTGAATAGCTAGGTTCACAAATCAGAATGCTATGAACCATTGTGGCGAATATGATCATGTGCGGCAGACATGAAGTGACAGTTTGCCATTTTGGTTTGAAAGCCCAATGCGCTCATGCACAGTCTGTTCGCTTCATAATCGGCACGACGGGGCTGCATGTAGTCTTCCTGTGAGATGAAAACGGGACCCAGTAATGTGATAGTGCTGGTTGAAGGCTGCATTTTCCTTGACCTTGATGTAGTGCCCACCGAGATGAGAGCCAGATCCAAAAGGAGGGTTTCATTTCCTACCGGCAGATGAAGAACACGTGTTTAAGCCCACGATATCAATGCCCAGGCAATGCTCGCACTTGATTATGAGCAGGGCGAGATCGTCACGCGTCGTGCTCCACCCCAAACCACGCAGTCCGGCAGGCATCCATGTAGCTCAGGGGGTTATCCCCCTACAGCTAACCTGTCCCAACAAACGACGGGCCTCCGGGACCTGAAAGAGTGGTCCGAGTCAGCCGCCTCCCTGTCAATGGGACCATCACGATCCCCGACGTCCGGGAAAGCAGGAAGATCACATGATGAAGACCAGGCGCGGGCTACCCGGCTCATCACATTCACAGGAACGGGCACGTTCAGGGGGTAAGGGGGATTTCCTTAGCGCGAGCCGAGGTCCTGGGCCGCTCATCTCGTTTTGCGCTGACAACCTGCTTCGGCGTCCGAGTGTGGCCGACACCTTCTGCTAAGAAGCCCGAGCGAAAAAGGAAGGGCTGGCATTCTTACTTCGTCTGAGGTGCTCTCGGAGCATGATGGGAAAGATGAGCAAGCTGCGAGGAAGACACGGAGGAAGCAAGGTTCGGAGATCGAAGGTGGAAACCGAGATGAACCCAAGGAAAAGTGTCTGCCTCGCTTCTTCTATCTCGCTTCTCCTGTTGCTCAGCGGATCAACGCAAGTGGCTTGGGATTCTTCTGCCTGCGTGTCTCCCTGTCTCTCCTGATCGCCGTCCACAGACGAGACTTGTGCCGAAACGAGACAAGGGCCCAGCAGACGAGGAGAGGAACACGAGAAACATGGAACTCGAGGGGCGACGCGTCGTTGGGTCAAGGAAATGAAAGAAGGGCCAGGATCAGGGCGAGGCCAGGGGCGACAGGGGGGGGGGAATAAAGTTATCAGATCAAAGAGTACTGGTGGGTGAGTGGGACGGACGGTCGCCTTGGGGTGTGCCGCGGTAGGAAGAGGGAGACCAGTGAGTGGAGATGACGAGGAAAGGGGGCGGCGCCAGGCCTAGAGACAGGCATCGAGACAGGCATGCTCGGTGGGCTGGCCGGTTTCGGAGGAAATGTCGTTATTTGTGACCGATTAGATGTGATTGATTTGATGAGATGAGATTGATAAGATTATTCCATGGGGCGGCAGCGTCGTAAAAGCCCTCAGGCAGGCGTTCTGGGCGTCTGGGAGTCGCAAGGGGGGGGGGGGGGGCCCACGGAACGAGTTGATGGGCTGGAATGGGGGGGGGGGACCCCGCGGC